GTGCCCCCCCGTTTCCAGATTTGAGGCAGCCAGTGCCTGAGGACACCAGGCCCTGGGCTTAAGGAATGTCCCTCTCTGTCCCCCTGCCAGGGACCAGCCCCTGCGGTGGGACATGGGGTTGTTGTGTTTGTGCCAGGCTGGGGACGGGGTGCCCAGACCCCCTTCCTGCAGCATGAACTCTGCTGTGTTCACACATACATATGTGCATTTGGCGGGGGTGGGGGGAGGAATGAGACCATGGGACACCAGGCCCTGGGCTTAAGGAATGTCCCTCTCTGTCCCCCTGCCAGGGACCAGCCCCTGCGGTGGGACATGGGGTTGTTGTGTTTGTGCCAGGCTGGGGACGGGGTGCCCAGACCCCCTTCCTGCAGCATGAACTCTGCTGTGTTCACACATACATATGTGCATTTGGCGGGGGTGGGGGGAGGAATGAGACCATGAAAAGCCTCCTGGGCTGGGGCAGGGGATCACAGCCCTCCCACCTCAAGAAGCGTGCTCTGGACGTGGCAGAGGGGACCCAGCATCTCGGGTCGTTCTGACTCGCTGGAAGACCTGCAGCATTTTCCCCTGTGGAGGTGAGGAGACTGACCGAGCTTCTCCTGTTTTTGTTACAGCCCCTTCTCGCCCCTTCATGGCATCGTCCCGTGCCCCAACCACCGAGCACCCCAGTCTCACTAGCTCTGTATCAGTCCCCACACAGACAACTCCCCAGGGGGAAGCTGTGCGACCACGATCAGATTCCTCCGACCACGAAGGCTCCAGCTCTCGCCAGTGAGTACCAGCTCTCCATGAGGTGTCTCTGGTGCAGCTCTTTGGGCTTTTCACATCTCCCGTACAGATTCAGACCTTCCACTTTTGTCTTTAGAGACCAATATTTCATCTTCTCAGCCAACTGCTCCACATGGAAAATAATCCCAGCACCCCCTGGTTGCTTGGCCCCACCAAAGCTCTCCTTGTCCCCTGTCCATCTCACAGCTTCAGCAAGGCACAGGTTGTCACCACGTGAGATGTGGTTTCTGACTGCAGCACTTGACTTTGTTTCCTTCCCTAAAACTCAGAGGAACTGTTTGCTTGTGGGAAACTCAAGTGCTGAGCTGGGTCCTCCTCTACTTTGTAGTCAGATGCAACCCTGTGGAGGTAGTTGACAAAGCATGGGAATGGACTGGCAGAGCTTCCTCCCTCCTCTCCTGTGATGCAAGAAGCAGACAAAGCTGAGGCTCCCCGGCAGCACACTCAGGGTGTAGCTGTCACACTGGCCTTGCCTGGTTGCCCATTGCAACGAGGTCAACAAATAGTGGAGCTAAACTGGAGCACAATAAGGTGACAGGAACTGATTCTTAAAATAGTGGAGATGCAGCAGCTCTCAGACCCCAGTGTCCATTTTACTTCTGCAGCTTCCAGAGTGCGTTTCTCCATCCCCAGCATGCAGCCTGGCCCACCCCACACCTGCTTCTCTCCCTCTGAGGCTCCACACTGGTTTCTCCCAACTCTGCTTCCGAGGAGAAGTGTGAGAACAGAGACGCTTCTTTTTCTTGCAGGTTGGACGTGGTTGTGCACATCCTCGTTCCAGGGATCGTAGTGGTTCTTCTTTTGCTTGCAGTTGCTGCTGGCATTTTGGTAACGCTGTCCAGGAAGAGGAAGAAGGGTAAGCAGAGCTGTCACTGCCACACACACACTGTTTCTGCACCACAGTCCATTTGTTTTTTCCTCTATATTTCTTTTTTCTCCCCTATTCCCTCCCTGATCCATCCAATTCCTGGGTCAAACACTGAGACCTCCACCAAAGAGGTCTCCCTCCCCTGAGGTGATGGGACTGTCCCACAGGGACTGTCCAGTGGCAGCAGGGAAGGGTGGCTCTTGGGATGGGTGCTGCCCAGCACAGCACCTGCTTGACTTTGTCTGGGCACCGCTGGCTTCTCCGGAGGTGCTCGGTTGTGTAGGCCAGGCTTGGACTAGGCTTGATGCAAAGCTTAAGGCCAGCGTGAAGGACAGGAAGGGACAGGAGGGGACGTCACCAGCTGGCAGGTGGGGTCTGGTTTTCCTTGAAGCACTGCTCCAGTTTAGATGGTTGATGGGGCAAGAGGTTCCCTTCCTGCTTTCCAGCCAGATTCCCAGTGGCAGTGCAGTTTTTGAATGCATTTTTTTTTCCTCTGGTTTCACTTGTGTCTAACCACATCTGTGCTGCATCCAGCCCTCTCCGGAGCAGATGTAGAGATGGACAGGACTCGCAGCGCATCACGTACCGTAAGGCAAACAGCACGAGGTCTATGGGATGGTGTGATGAGGTCTATGGGATGGTGTGACGAGGTCTATGGGATGGTGTGATGAGGTCTATGAGATGGTGTGACGAGGTCTATGGGATGGTGTGACGAGGTCTATGGGATGGTGTGATGAGGTCTATGAGATGGTGTGACGAGGTCTATGAGATGGTGTGACGAGGTCTATGGGATGGTGTGACGAGGTCTATGGGATGGTGTGATGAGGTCTATGAGATGGTGTGACGAGGTCTATGGGATGGTGTGATGAGGTCTATGGGATGGTGTGACAAAGTCTATGGGATGGTGTGACGAGGTCTATGAGATGGTGTGATGAGGTTTATGGGGTGGTGTGACGAGGTCTATGAGATGGTGTGATGAGGTCTGTGGGATGGTGTGACAAGATCTATGGGATGGTGTGCTCCCAGCTCACCCGGGGAGGGAAATGTTACACCCTGAGCTGAGCAAACCAGCTGCCAGCTCCGTTTGCTTTCAGTCAGGTTCATGGCCCTTTAGGCTGGAAGAAATCTTTTGGGCTCCGTTCACCAACAGGAACACCTGACCAGGGATTTTGTGTGACTCTTGCAGAGTATTCCTGGGGAGGGAATTTAGGATTGAGCAGAGAGGTTTCTCTCTGAGCCCCTCCAAGCAGGGGAGCTGCTTCTCTGGTTGAAACAGCCTTGGGAACCTGAGGAAAGCCCACCTGAGGAGGATGCGGGGCAGCTGATCTTCTGTCACTGCTTAGGAAGTATTTCCCAATGCTTTCCGCCAGCTTTTGAGGAATGGCCAGTGTCACTAACCAGATTTCCCAAGGGAAAAGTTGAGCCAGCCCTTGCTACAGGTTAAATTTCCCCCCTGTGCTCCTGCAGCCATCTCAGCTCTCATCAGGAATGGCAGTGGGATGGGAGATGTTCCCACCACCGTGGGCTGCAGGCAGGAGCTGCAGGCAGGGGAGCAGCAGTAGGTTAAGAGCTCATCCCTCTCCTTCACCCATCAGGGAGCGGATGCCTTGAACTACGCAGACATTAACCACCACAGGGGCACGGCCGAGAGCCAGCTGTACAGCAATGCCGCGGCTTTCCGCTGCTTGGCAAACACCACAACCGAATACATGGAGGTCAAGTGGAGTGATACGGTAGGAGAATGCAAAGCAGAGCTGAGCTCGAGGTGGTGGGTGGGAAGCTGGGGTGGGTGGATGGAACAGGTTGGCCAGGGCAGTGGTGGAGGCACCATCCCTGGAGGTATTTAAAGGACTTGTAGATGTGGTACATGGGGACATGCTTTAGTGGTGAACTTGGCAATGCTGGGTTTACGGTTGGACTAGATGATCGTAATGGTCTTTTTCAACCAAACTGTTCTATGATTCTATGATGGTGTGGGCAGTGGGATGGGTTGGGTGGGCAGGAAGGCGGCTGCAAAGGGAGATGTCAAGCTGGGGTGCAAATGACCCTGGATACCGTGGGTGGCCTCTCCGGTCCCCACGGTATCACCCCCACGGTCCCCACCCCAGGCTGCTCCTGGGTGCTTAAAGCAGCTGAGACAGGTTCCAGCAGATGGTGTTGCCCTGGAGCAACCCCACGAAGGATGTTTTTTGTTTATCCCCCTCCTTTCTCAGCATTTGGAAGAGAAAAAAGAGGCTATATATGCCACCGTGCAGAAGTCCTCACCCAAGCAGTAGGAGATCTTTGTCAACGTACCGTCAGCCCCACAGCGCAGAGAAGATCCCTGCAGCACAGCACAGAGGGTGTGAGCTGGCACCCAGCCCCACCAGCTGCTCCTGCTGCCGGCAGTGCCAGCGGGACACAGGCTGCCCTTCTGCTCAGCCAGGAGCTGGCTCGACAGCAGAGCTGCGGCTCTTGTAGACTTGGACATTTCCTTGGAGCAACCTCAAAGAGAATGAAGTTGAGCAGGAGGCATGGAGCAGGATGAGGATGAAATCATCCCTCTGCATTTGGAGGTCTCGCCCGTACAGTGATGGTACTGGGAATAAAAAACTGCCCCTTGCTTTGGGGTAGCCCAGGCTGGGCTGGAAGAGCCTGGCAGTGGGAGGTGAGGGTGGGCTGGGGGTTGTGGGTGGGCTGCCTGGCTCCCCCCACCCAGCACCCGCCCTGCTTGCCCCTTTGGCTGCATTATTCACACGGGATGAAGCTCCCAAACCTGCTGGTCACCTCAGACTGACGTTTTTTCATGCCAGTGCCAGGCAGAGCAGGCAGCTTCTGGGAAGCAGGGCAGTGAGAAATGTTACATCGAAATGCATTTATATCCAAATGCCAGGGGGACCCGGGTGGGGGCTGTGGTGCATTTGGTTCTCTGTGCAAAGGAGACAGCAAAGGTGCTCCCGTCCCTCCTACGTGGCTGTTGGGAAGCAGCTCCCTGGCCCCCCCCCAGTCCCACAGCCCCCAGGGAGGTTCACTCCTGCTCTCTTCCCCCACCACCACCCCAGGGACCCCTCGGCTGGGAGTGCCTGGACAGGCTGTAACTGTCACCCTGCTCTTTGCTTTGCTGATAATTCACTTTCTGGCACTCACTAAACACATTCTTCTGTGTAAAGTGTCGCTCCTTTCTCAGTTACAGCAACTGAGAAGCTGACAGAATCTAACACCAGATTCGTACGGCAATGAACCCTCGCTAAAGGATTCATTGCAGAGTGTCACCCCAAAAGCGGGTCTGGGCTTTTGCTGGTGCCCAGGCAGGCTCTGGTGTGGGAACCCAAGATCTTTAAGGACAAGGACTCTGCTGCTCCAGCACCATCCCACAGCCCCAGCGCTGGCTGCTGTGGCACTGCTCCCCATGGGACGTCCCACGGGGCTGTGCTTTGGGCACGCTCTTACCCCCTCCGTGATGGCTCTGCTCTTGCCCAGCACCCAGCGATTCATCCATCCTGACAACCCACTCCCCCAAAAAACAGCTCACAGGGATGAGTATCTATTTGTGAGGCCGAGTCAGTGTATTTCAGGGCTTCCTTTGGAGAGAATTCCGTAACTTTGTTAACTGCTACATACTTTGTTTCAGGATTTTTGTAATTATTTTATTGGAGAAGCCACCTGGAGCATCCCTGCTCTGTCAAAAGCAGCTGGAAATAAAGGTCTGTGGTACAACAGTTGTGTTTATTCCTGTAGGTTATTCCTATAGAAGTTTGTCTTCCTATATAAGAAAACTGGGGAGGGACTTTTCATAAGGGCAGTTAGTGACAGAACAAGGGGAAATGGGTTTAAGCTGAAAGAGGGGAGGTTTAGATGAGATATTAGGAAGAATTTCTTCACTGTGAGGGTGGTCAGACACTGGAACAGGTTGCCCAGAGAAGCTGTGGCTGCTCCTCCCTGGAAGTGTTGAAGGCCAGGCTGAATGAGGCTTTGAGCAGCCTGGTCTAGTGGAAGGTGTCCCTGCTGATGGCAGGGGGGTTGGAACTGGATGAGCTTTAAGGTCCCTTCCAATCCAAACCAGTCTGGGATTCTATGATTCTAGAAGGAAAAATTTCTCCTGCATTGGGTCAGGAGGTGGGATCCCTCCTTCCCACCCTGGCATAAGGCTGAGCTCCAGAGGTGGGAGCACATGGGGGACAAACAGCAACGCCACAGACAAGCATGGCTTGCCCTTTAGTTGAATTTTTCTTCTGTGTGTGCTTAGTTCATCTCGTGGCCTGTTCACAACGCTGCTGTCTCCACAAAACCGCTTCATTCCAGCATCCCTACCTTATCTACTGTATTTAGAGATTCGACGCCTCAAGTCTCCTGTTAACTGTTTTAGACTATAAACTTGCCCAGGTCTAGCTGCTATGGAACTGATTTTCAGTGTCACCTTGTTGAAGCAGAAGGGGATGTTCTTTCGGAACCGCATCACCTGCAGCCCCTCAGCTAAACCCCTTCCCCTTCAAACCCCATGGGCAGCTGCAGCCTTCCCTGGGCTCCATCTGCAGAACCACTCCGGAAGGTGACAGGAGGTGACAGAGCTGCTATTGCCACCCAGACCCTGCTTCCTATTTCCCTGCTGCAAACCTGGCCCCACAGCAGCTCCGGCCGGGGTGAGGCATGGGGTGGCCGGAGGGGTTCATGGGATGAGGGGCTGCGCTTTTCTGGGGCAAGGGGCTGCACTGCTCTGCTCGCCAGGTGCGTGTCCTGCGAGAGCTTTGGAATCTTTTCAGGTTTTATTGCAGCAAAACCAGGACTGGGGTGGGTTAGTGTGTCCTGCCATGGGGGATGCGCTCCCCCTGACAGCCCCGCGGCTCTGGGGCAGCCCCAAACTTGGCCCTCACCCCTGGGCACCCCAGAAGTCTCCTCTGGCAGTGTCAGGGCACCCAGTGACACCTCTCACTGCTGCCAGCCCCCTGGGCAGCATCGCGGGACCCCTGAACTCAGCAAGGCCTTTGCCCACTGCCTGCAGGGAGCAGTAGAGCGGGGAGCACCCAGAGAGGGCACCCAGCACAAGCGAGGGCACCCAGCACCATAACCAGCTGCAAGGGAACTGGGAACCCAGCGCCCGTGGCTGGCACAGACCCTTCGTAGGAGCACCCAGCACCTTCACACTCATGGGTGTGCCCCATGCACACGTGTACATGTGTGTGCACACATAGATGTGCCCACAGACACACAGAGACAGACAGACACACAGACACACACACAGACA